AACATTCACGGATAATAAAAAATAACATAATAATAATAATAATAATTTTATAATATAACATTTACGGATATCATAAAAATGGGAGTGAGAGACATCTATAACTGAAATCGGCAATTACTTAGTTGCCAACCCAATATTTGTCGAATATATTGATCATTTCAATTAATTATGTCAAACACAGTGATAGACCGAATAACAAATGAAATAAAAATTTTACGTAAACAATTATTTGAATTATATTTTATTTGAATAGTGCCCACCCTTTGCCACCCTTACCCTTTTTGTGGCAGTGTAGAACGATCTGCTTGGCCAAAGCAAAAGCGATCGGCACATTAATCGACAGATTCTCGATCACTTCGTCCAAGCTGGTCGATTTCAAGATCAGATTCGCCGTCTGCGGCGCGCAGATGAACGTGAACGTCACGAAACACGTCGACCAGAACACGAAAGACGTGAATCGACGGGAACGATCCGAGGTCACCCTTGGTTCTGGCCACACGCCGAGCAGAGTCAAGTTGAACTGATTCCATCCCATCGCGAAATCCATATTTCCACGTTTCGATTGCTCGTCAAACTCGGCCACGATCGTCGCGAGGAATAAACGTCGCTCGTAGTATATTAAATCGATTTTACTGTTCTCAATGCTCGAAACGATAATCAAGATTATTCCATTAATACAACAATGAACAATCCGTCAACGCTCGGGAAGCCATCCTGCTAAGACTATGAAACGACAACGACACTGTAGTATCCCACGATAGGAAATTAGCTATGCTTTATTTGAAAAATTCGTCTCATAGAAGGCAGCTCTCGGTGAACGTTTTATTAAATTCGAACGCAACGAAGAGGATCCTCCTTTTTTTAAAGTTTAAAACGTGTTCGAACGATTTCTACTATCTATCCGCGGTTTGTTACTGTCCAAGGATACTTCGTGAACTGAACTGCCGGATTGCGCGTAACCCGTTACCAGGGATGACCTTCATTACGCATTCGCGTGCCTCTCGCACGAAAACGTTTCCCCGATAGGAAGTTCTAATCGCCACAATCTGAAAGTTCGCCAGGAGGTCTACCCTGTTATTCGAAAACTCTTTCCGCACGGCCCGAAGGACGGAGAGATACATGCGCGTGGAACTAAAAGTTCGGTGGTCAGTTTTTGCCAGGGGAACTCTCGTTTGTCATCGCGCAGAGAGAGAGAGGGAGAGAGAGAGAGAGAGAGAGAGAGACCCGAGCCAATAGCTAACATTGTAAATGCGTGCGAGGGTTAGTGAACTTTTGTAAATAGCATCGTAGTGATTCAAACTACGGGACTCTGGGATCGCGTTCAACGGATGCGATCAGTCGTCGAAGCTCGACACTGTGACGAGTACCGACAGATAGCCCATCGCTGTTCTTAGGATCTGAAACGATGGGATCGGTGATTTCTCAAGCATCTGTTCCTTCGTAGTTCATCGCGAAATATCGGGTTGACTAATAAGTTCGTTCGCAATAGTGACGTTTGAAACTACATTGCTCCCTTTGAGCGATAAAATAACAGCTGGACGTATCAAATTAAGGATCGCCTAGGGATGCTCGCTTCTTCGGCATCAGTAAGTAGCCTTTGTTCGAGTTCAAAATGTTTAAATATTACTGGAATATTCGTTTTCATTTTACCTTGAAATCACGAACAATTATTTCAGCGAGAATGTTTTCATCGACACCGAATTTCACCGACGATGTTTATACAAATTGTCCTAAAATTATTGTACAAGCGAGAAATGAGGGATTCCTTAGGTCATTTTGAGTAACTTTTTCCTTTGCGAAAATGCGATCCGCGGCTTCGTTTACGAGTTATTAACGAAAAACAGTGACCAATGAGCGATCGCGTGAGGCTGGCGTCCCGCCCTCGCGACCACTGTCGCTGCGTTAGACGGCCGACGCGACGAGGCATTGGCTGCGGTCGCTCTACAATTGGTCCATGTTTTTCGTTAATAACTCGTGAACGACGCCTTGGAGAAAATTTTTGTAAAGGAAAAAGTTACTTCAAATCACTTCAGGAACCCCTAATTTCCCGCTTGTACAATAATTTCGGGACACCCCGTATTTATAAGAAATGCGAACAGACTTATTACTCAATTATTGTGATTGCGTGAGACTTACGGTGCTAAACATTTCCATGGAAAAAATACCGAATTTGCCTGCAGTCAGACAAAGTGGTCGCATAGATCTTAGCATGATGAATATAAGGCATTTGGCTTCTGGCGGTGCTACGTTGTACCAGTTGGTGTCGTAGGCAGCGATAGCCATGTTGCTACTCTGAAACATATTTCACCAACTCATCATCTATTCTACGAGTCCTTTTTTTTAACCTTTTAGGTACGGCTGAATTCTGCGCAAGACTATTTTTCTGGACGGCAGAGTCTGATACTGTATATTCTGTCTGTATATACAGGGTGTCCCAAAAATGTCTCGCAATCCGAAAGTGGCGGGTTCCTCGGGCCATTTGAAGCAACTTTTTCCTTTACAAAAATTTTCTCCGAGGCACCGTTAACGAGTTATTAACGAAAAACAGTGACCAATGAGAGGCGAGCACGGCTGGCGCGAGGCGATCGAGCCAATAAGCGTAACTGGGCTTCGCGCGCTGGTTGGCTGGGCCGCCTCGCGACAGCCGTACTCGATTCTTATTGGTCACTGTTTTTCGTTAATAACTCGTTGACGGTGCCTCGGAGAACATTTTTGTAAAGGAAGAAGTTGCTTCAAATGATCCGAGGAACCCGCCATTTCTGGATTGCGAGACATTTTTGGGACACCCTGTAGACTGTTGTAAATCGATGCGAAGACAAAAGAAGTGTGAAACAATGCATATGAAGACGATTATTTGGTTCAAACGATGAGCGAGTGAGCTACCAGAGCAAGCCACTATAGTGGCGCGTCGTTCAGAGAGATGACATCCGCGAAAGTCACTATAGTGGCGCATCGTCCAGAGAGATGACATCCGCGAAAGCCGCTATAGTGGCGCGTCGTGCCTAAAAGGTTAAATCTTAAATTATATCCACCAACCGCGGACGAATTTTTGATTTTTCGGTATGAAATAGCGGGCTGGTTTTATTTGTCACAGAGATGCGTTTTAAGAATTAGATTTAAAAAATGATATAAAAAGAGGAATAAACAAATTTTTAATCTTTTTAAATGTAGATTTTTTTTACTTAATTTTACAATATATTTAGGAAGCGAATTCCACGCTGTCCGCGGTTGGAGGGGTCAAAAGATAATATATTTCAAGATCATTGAAATCTGCAAATTTAAAAAATCATTTGAAATCCTAAAAATCCCTTTTACAAAATCTGTTTTTCTTTTCTTTTTTAATTTCTAACGCATCAGAACATGATTCAAATTCGTTGCGAATAATTAAATACCGCTGAACATATTTTTTTTGCTTACAATTTGATTTTCTGACTCAGGTATGACGGTGGATAAATTTTTGTATCAATTCGACTATTTTGTGGTTTTCGGTCAAAACAATCGAAATAACGCAGTATATGTATAATTAAGGAGATCAAAGTAATTAGAGAAGGAACAGAGAGCGATTATTAGAATTAATCAGCAATATACTTTTTTTGAAGTTTACTCAAAAACTGTGGTTGAGACGGAGAGGAATGACTCTCGAAATCACGTTCAATGCGCCAGATCCGCCCAAATATTATCAAAACATACGAAAAAGTGAACATTTCTAGTGCGATTAGTATGAACGTAAGCATGAACGTATGCTAGGCACGAGTATATATAAATGAGCCGTTTATTTTGAAAGTGGTATAAGTCACTTTTTCAAAAAAATCGAGTTAATGGTAACACTAATTACTGTCTCTTATACACATCTAGATGTGTATAAGAGACAGTAATTAGTGTTACCATTAACTCGATTTTTTTGAAAAAGTGACTTATACCACTTTCAAAATAAACATGTTTGTCATACGGTTAATTAGCAAAACTTCTCTCGAACGAATCTCAATAGATCTGAACTTATTGATTGCAAATTTTTTTAAAATGGAAAGATACCGTTCAATTGTAATTAGTGTTACCATTAACTCGATTTTTTTGAAAAAGTGACTTATACCACTTTCAAAATAAACATGTTTGTCATACGGTTAATTAGCAAAACTTCTCTCGAACGAATCTCAATAGATCTGAACTTATTGATTGCAAATTTTTTTAAAATGGAAAGATACCGTTCAATTGTAATTAGTGTTACCATTAACTCGATTTTTTTGAAAAAGTGACTTATACCACTTTCAAAATAAACATGTTTGTCATACGGTTAATTAGCAAAACTTCTCTCGAACGAATCTCAATAGATCTGAACTTATTGATTGCAAATTTTTTTAAAATGGAAAGATACCGTTCAATTGTAATTAGTGTTACCATTAACTCGATTTTTTTGAAAAAGTGACTTATACCACTTTCAAAATAAACATGTTTGTCATACGGTTAATTAGCAAAACTTCTCTCGAACGAATCTCAATAGATCTGAACTTATTGATTGCAAATTTTTTTAAAATGGAAAGATACCGTTCAATTGTAATTAGTGTTACCATTAACTCGATTTTTTTGAAAAAGTGACTTATACCACTTTCAAAATAAACATGTTTGTCATACGGTTAATTAGCAAAACTTCTCTCGAACGAATCTCAATAGATCTGAACTTATTGATTGCAAATTTTTTTAAAATGGAAAGATACCGTTCAATTGTAATTAGTGTTACCATTAACTCGATTTTTTTGAAAAAGTGACTTATACCACTTTCAAAATAAACATGTTTGTCATACGGTTAATTAGCAAAACTTCTCTCGAACGAATCTCAATAGATCTGAACTTATTGATTGCAAATTTTTTTAAAATGGAAAGATACCGTTCAATTGTAATTAGTGTTACCATTAACTCGATTTTTTTGAAAAAGTGACTTATACCACTTTCAAAATAAACATGTTTGTCATACGGTTAATTAGCAAAACTTCTCTCGAACGAATCTCAATAGATCTGAACTTATTGATTGCAAATTTTTTTAAAATGGAAAGATACCGTTCAATTGTAATTAGTGTTACCATTAACTCGATTTTTTTGAAAAAGTGACTTATACCACTTTCAAAATAAACATGTTTGTCATACGGTTAATTAGCAAAACTTCTCTCGAACGAATCTCAATAGATCTGAACTTATTGATTGCAAATTTTTTTAAAATGGAAAGATACCGTTCAATTGTAATTAGTGTTACCATTAACTCGATTTTTTTGAAAAAGTGACTTATACCACTTTCAAAATAAACATGTTTGTCATACGGTTAATTAGCAAAACTTCTCTCGAACGAATCTCAATAGATCTGAACTTATTGATTGCAAATTTTTTTAAAATGGAAAGATACCGTTCAATTGTAATTAGTGTTACCATTAACTCGATTTTTTTGAAAAAGTGACTTATACCACTTTCAAAATAAACATGTTTGTCATACGGTTAATTAGCAAAACTTCTCTCGAACGAATCTCAATAGATCTGAACTTATTGATTGCAAATTTTTTTAAAATGGAAAGATACCGTTCAATTGTAATTAGTGTTACCATTAACTCGATTTTTTTGAAAAAGTGACTTATACCACTTTCAAAATAAACATGTTTGTCATACGGTTAATTAGCAAAACTTCTCTCGAACGAATCTCAATAGATCTGAACTTATTGATTGCAAATTTTTTTAAAATGGAAAGATACCGTTCAATTGTAATTAGTGTTACCATTAACTCGATTTTTTTGAAAAAGTGACTTATACCACTTTCAAAATAAACATGTTTGTCATACGGTTAATTAGCAAAACTTCTCTCGAACGAATCTCAATAGATCTGAACTTATTGATTGCAAATTTTTTTAAAATGGAAAGATACCGTTCAATTGTAATTAGTGTTACCATTAACTCGATTTTTTTGAAAAAGTGACTTATACCACTTTCAAAATAAACGGCTCAAATATAGAAAACAAAAATGCAGAAATATAGAAAAACTCACTTGGACACGAAGTAATTCACCCACGTAACAATAAACGTACATATGCACTATAATAAACGATATGAAAAGCACGAAAAACAGCATTTGAAAGTTTAGCATGCCATCGTTGCTTTTAAGTATCACCTGCAAGCCCAGATCGAACGTGCACAATTAGAATCATTCGACTTGTCTCAATCGAAGTAACTTACATTGAAGAATAGAAATCCTTGGAAACATATTTCGACGGTACTGAGTAGCATCTGCACGAATAGCAGCAAGCTAAAGCATCCGTCAATTCTTCCGGCAACCCTTTGGTAAAAAAGAATGATTATTATTATTATTATTATAAATAACAATTTCCTAATTTTACGTTGTTACGTTATTACTATAATAATGGAATTAATTGGCTGTTCAACGTCATCGATGACTTTCGTTACTTCTTTCATAGGACCATAAACAGTTTACATTCGAAATTGTTGACAATTTATTGAATAAAAATTTCTTTTACTTGAATCGTCGTCCATGAAGTGACAAAAACCACAAATTGCAATAATAAAAATTTCAGAAATGGTTGTCCCACAACAAAAAGTCACAGCCAGAAAGTGCGTTCAGAATCGCAAATTTTCATATGAAATTTTTAACTTTAACTTCGTTAAACGAATTTACTTTAATTTCGTGGAATTTCTAAGGCTGGTTAGGTGGCAGTCGAAATGTTAATGCGAGCCGTGATCAGCCACTTAACACTAGATTTACGGAATCTTTATTTACGAAATTTTTTATTTACGGAATTTTTTCATTTACGATTATTCATACCGTAAAGGCATGTTTATGTGTGTGTGAGCTATTTATTCAATTTACAGTAATGTCTCTCTAATTGACGCCCAGATTGCGCACAAAAATGGACAATTTGTGAAGAGGAGATACGATTATTCGAGCCTAGCGGTTTATTTTTATAATTATAAATCGTCCACAATTATAAAAACGAGCCGCAAGGCTCGAAAAATCGTATCTCATCTTTCCAAATTATCCATTCTAGTGGACAATCCGAGCGTCAGTAAGGGAGACATTACTGTACAGGGTGTCCCAGGTTTTAATGTTCAAACTTTGTCAGTATATTCTATGGCACAAAGTAAGAAAAAAATGTTACGTAAACATAGGTCATATAGAGCTTTATTAAGAAGTTATAACAAAAATTCAGAATAGGAATAGTAATCAGCTAAAAATAAAATAAAAAATAAAAAAGAAATCTTCGATCGATGTCAATCATGTATTGTCAACAACGGTTATTAATACATTTCGAAATGTATTGATAAACACAGCTTACATAAACACACGGCATGTGCTGATCTATTCAAGCCAATGCTCGCAGTAACAGCAAGTTGATTACTATTCCTATCTTGAATTTTTGTTATAACTTCTTAATAAAGCTCT